TTGTGGTTGTAGAAAGTCAATAAGGTAAAACCTGCAGAAGATGTAGTCTGTGGTGTAAGGAAACATTATATATTAACTAGAAACCAGTCATAGTTCTTGACAAGCCACACATAACAACAAATGTGAACAACGTTTTAAAGTCCAAACAGAAATGCTGTTCACTGATCTGTCTTCAACTTCCTTCGGTTATTTGCTTCGGTGGAACATTGTCCGGCCCGTAGTGGGCTTTGGAGGTGGAGGGGACGTTGATGTTGGGGTCTCCGTTGTTGGACGTGTGGATGTGGTTGTTCTTGCCGAGGCTCTTGATGATGTTCAGGTTGGTGCGAGCCGTTTCCATGAAGCTGTTCTCCAGCAGCCAGCCGTCGGACTCGGAGTTGGGGTCTCCTTGTCTCAGCACGTTCTCCAGCGAGGTCTGGAGGTAACGGACCCCCGTCAGCACCGACAGCTGGAACAACACACACACACGCATGCTACTGAGTGGAACATCATCAACACAAATGCTGTAGTTTTGTAGCAGAGAACCACAGGAGAGTCCACGTCAAGTGCTTCATGGGTTAGAGATCTACACAACAGCACATTCTGACTCTTGACTCATCACCAAAGGCCTCCTGCAGTCACCGCTTTGTGTTTGCTCACCTCAAACAGCCAGGTGATGAGGACCGCCAGGCCAATGGACTGCATGATGTGGGTGTAGTACTCCAGCAGCGCCTGGCGACACCCTTTCATCCACAAGTTGAGCTCCTCTGTCTGGTGCTCGTAGTTGAAGTGAGCCGAGTTGTTGGTGATCTGCTGCTGGATGCAGGGCCGGGGCGAGTTGATGTTGCAGCAGCTGAAGGGGACACCGTCCATCAGGTACTTGCCCTCCACGTTGCTCCTCAGCCGGCTACAAATAGGAGATAGAAGAAGTCTGACTTATTGGTGCTTCAGTATGGTTGACTTTATGGTCTTTGTTTGGAACGTTCACCAGCCTGTGTTCCCTGTCATAAGCTTTCTTTCCCTTTTGCATCCTCACTGCCAACTGCTCAAACATTTTGGGATGTTTGGTGAACTTTTAAATCTAAATCTTCAGCTGCCACATTCATTAAAAAATAAATAAATCATCACAAATGAGGGCTTTAGTATACACAGCTGGTTATAAACATGTCACTTCCTACATACAGAGGACGACAACGACCTTGTCACAGTTCCAAAAGAATAGAATAGAAATGCTTTATTAATCCTCAGGGTTACCACCAGCATAAATACTGATAAATAAGCAAAAATAATATGAAAATATGAAATGCAAAATGTACAGTAAGTGTAATATGTCTAATTAGATGAGTCAACACTTAGAGAAGAAACACAGAATACATATCTGTGTGATATTATTATATATATTCTATATATTTCATTCATTTCATTTCATTCATTCATTAGTACCAAAATGTAATCTCTGCCAGTCTCAATTCTCCTTTTCTTTTTATTCAAGTTAAATGTGTCATTAAATTCTCCATTATTGTGTCAATTTTAGCTTTTTTATTTAGCATCTTTTTATAGACGGTGCTTGGGATCGTCCTAATGTTTCAGTTTATTTCAGTTTTCTATGTTTGTCATCGCATTTTGTTGTAAAACTGATTATCTCACGTCGTGGTTTGAATTGGATTACATTTTCCCGGCTGCTTGGGGTCCGTGGACACAAGTTAGAAACACAACACACATCATCACCTGATAAGCCGATACAGGAAACCATTATTATTACGTCCAGCAGTTACAAAGACACACTATTATCTATGTTTCATTCCACTTAGTGAAAGTAAGACTGATATTCCCTCTCTTGTAGCTCTGTTTTTGGTCTCCTCCAACTCCCGTTTTTTTTACCTGCCAATGTTCCTGCACTGTGTTTACTAGTTACTAATAGTGTCTGGAGCTTAGCAGGTGGTTGGCAGTGTATTTTTTTAGTTTCTTTTTAATACAAAACAGCTTCCAGCAGCAATTGGAAGTGATGTGATTAGAGCAGGGAGAGCTAAGCTGAATAATGAGCGATAATTCATCATAATCCCATATGAGGGAGTGGAGCCACAGGTGATGTCAAAATGGTTTCACACTTCTATAAGTGTTCCTCCTTTAGTTTTCACACCTTGTCATGAACAAACAGTGTCCTCCTCCTCCTTCACTTTGTACTTACTCTATCACCTCCTTTTCGGACATATCCAGGTAGCGGTTGCTTATCCACTGGATCTGAAACCAGTCTCTGTAGCCGTTGTTTCCGCAGCACTGGAAGTGTATCTGCAGCAGGTCCACGGTGCGCTTCAGGAAGCAGCGCCCCGGCGTGTCCGTGTCCTTGTAGAACCTGATGGCGTCCGTCAGCCCCAAGTTCAGAGACTCCTCCAGCTCCCCACGCATGCTGTAGCACATCAGGGCCCCCACCAGCACGCAGAAGGTGAAGAAGAAGGTGCATATGATGTAGGGCAGCATGATCAGCTTCCAGCGCAAGAACTTGGTGGTGTCCACGCAGTCGTAGCAGATCTTCCCGCCCAGGAAGTTGATGGCACAGGCGATGAGACCCACAGCTATCAGCATGTTGGGCACGTACTGGATGTCCCTCTCGGCCATCAGCTCCCCTCGCTTGTTGATCTCCACCTTGAGGAAGAGCCCCAGGCTGAAGAGGATGGCCCCCGTGACCACTGAGATCCAGTTGAGGATCCACAGCACCTGGGCCAGCTTGTCCCTCTTGGTTTTAGTGAATTTGACTTTTAAAACTGCCATTGTCTCTGTTTCCTCTGTGTGTTTTTCTCTCTTAAGTCCTCGGTGGGATTAAGGGTGGGACGCAGGTAGAGCAGGGGAGAGGAACAGGTTATCCTCCAGGGGTCGTGGGGGGCCGAGGGGCGGGGGTCTGGCTGTACAGTCCTCTGAAGCTCCTCTCATAAGCAGCTTAGCCTGGCAGTCTAGATCGATATCGTGTGGACGCTGCATTATGAATGTAGGTGTTCTCTGAGACGACAGCAGTGAGAGTATGAAAAGAAAATATTCTCACAGTTTGAGGGAATAAAAAACACGTTTAAGACAAAATGCACGGACGTTAAATCGCTTGTATGCAAACAGAATCTCCAAAATCTGCATGTAAGACAAAAAAATAGCTTAAAAAATGAGCAACATAAACTCATGTTAGAAAAACATCACAACTTGCTTTTTAATCCAGTTATGCTTTATTAGCAAAAATACATTTCTGAGGATTAGGCGGTGTGTAGATAATGGATGGATGGATGGTAGAGTGAAAATATAACTCCAAGAAGTCCACCGTACTCACCTCTGTGTGCTCAGCTCCAACCTTGAACATCTGGCGTCACTCTCACCTCATTTTGACTTTGTTTCCTGCTTAACATCCTCAGATTTAGTCCCGAGAGCGGCGAGTGTTCGTAGTGACACAGATAGCATGAAGGCAGCCACAGCAGCATCAGAGTGAGACTAGTAACCAAGTCCTGACCCTCCTCCTAATCCCCTTTAATCATTAATCATCTCTGGGCTCCACAAGGGATTTGGACCCACCTTCTGCCACCTACGCAAATCTGATTGTCCTTCCGCTGTGAAAGTATTGGCTGACGGCCTTTGTGTCTGTCAGTCCGTGGGTACTTTCGTTTGTGTCAAAGGTTGAAGTAATCAAAAAGCCTTCAGTCGAGCTGGAATATTTACATCATGTTTAATTAAACCAGCTTGGAATGACAAATCTAAATATGTAGAGACAGAAATAATGCGACAGTGCTTAGACATCTCTGGTGGCTTTCATGAAGCGCACACATGATCTAGAGCTATAGATAGGCCAGAAAGGGCAAATTAGGTGTAAATACACAGCGATGGGGAAGAAAAAGGTGCTGCTGCACTGCTCTCTACTGGTGGAAACCCTCCTCTGACAAGTGTTGATTAGGTTTATCTATAAAATGTCGTCAAATGTCTTGTTCTGGTCCAAAAGGCAAAGAAATTACCATCATGTATGACAAAGAGTTGCTTTAAATCCTCACTTGAGAAGCTAAAAGCAGAAAATATTTGGCATTTTGTTTGGAAATAATTGTGCAACCATCATGAAAGTCGCTGATAAATTTTAATTAATTGAATATTTGTTGGTGGTACATTTGAGGATGCCCCAATGAGTGATGGTGTAGCAGTCTGACTTTGCCAAATGGTAAAAAAATCTTCTTCTGACATGTGTTACCAAAAGCACCAATTCCTCTACATTCATGTAAGAAGTTCATCTTGGCCTCCTGCACTCACCTCACCTCTGCTGCTCTTAACTATTCTGTTCAAAGCCTTCAGCACACACACACACCCAGAGACTCAAACGTAAATATGCACTCACAGCCACGCTGCAAATCAGCCAATGAAACGTTAACTGAGAGTGAGATTAGTGGATTAACATGTACGAAAGTAGCTTGTGTAAGAAGAGAATGTTACTGTAGCCACGGGGCCAGTCAGCAAATCCACAAGGCAGACAGCGCTCAAGGCTGCAACACACCGAGAGCCAACCGAGCTGCAGCGGACGACTAAACCGAAGCCCAGTGAGTATCGACAACCTGACAAGTTCTTTTAAATCTTCAAATCTTTAATCATCCTGTTCAGCCTGGTCTTTGGACAGTCCAGTGATCTAATTATAGAATCATGTCTAGAAGAGACTTTCTAGTTCTAAGTGTGTAAAATGGGGTATTTAAAGTAAATCACAGGTGTTTTCATACATGCACACTCATGTTCCTTTGCTCTACTGAACCACGTGTGCCAGCGTACCGTTGACCCCGTGATCTCAGACGACATGCTGGACACGGAGAGTCAGTGGGCCGAGGCTCTGGCCGGCAACAACATCAGAGCCGTCATCCGCTGGCTGGCAAAGCTGACAGCTGAAGGTAGAAGAAGAGAAAATGTACACCAATGACTCTGCAAAAACACTTTTTAAAAAAATATATAAAGTATGTGCTGCTTGATTCAATCTCCAACAAGGTGATGCTGATGTGGAGGAAAGTCTCCAGACCTTCAGCTGCTGGGTCCAGAGGACGTCGGAGTTTGCAAAAAAGGAAATATTAACCTTGTGTAAGTACATGTCACTTTCTCTGTAAAGCGAGAGCATATTAACAAAAGGGACGGTCAGCATTTCCTGCCTTGCAAACATATGCTTCCTTCAACCTTTAATTAATTTGGTGTAAGTTGAAAACGTGTGTACTCCGGCCCAATCTGACATCACCTTGTGGACGTCATCAGGGTTATTTTTGGAACCTGTGGTGCAAAATTAGTTTTTCTTTAATCAGCAAGTTGATATTCACACTTTGGGTTATGTTTTGTTTATTCCCTCAGGCTTCAGCCGCTGTCAGGGTCTGTGGATGTTCCTGGACCGGAGCTCCTTCACCAGGGTGCACATGTTGCTCCAGAGACTGAGGAACCTGCTCACGTTGGCCCAGTGGGCGAGAAGGCAGCTGTGCTCAGCCCACCTCTGGCACGGTACACGTCCGCCACACAGCACGATGGGTGGCCTCATCTTTATATTCTGACATTGTTTGACTTTAACTCTGTGTTTAGGTGTCGGCGTCCCGTGTCTGATCTGCAGAGACACCCGCGGCTCCTCGGACGTCCGACGTGGCTGCTGGAGCCGAGAACACAGAGCTCTGAAGCAGCACATCTGGCTGGGGCGGCTGGTTCAGTGGTGGGGCATCACGGGGCTCCTGCCAAAGCTGCCCGGTATAGATGATATCATCACACACCAATATATTGGCATTAAGAGCTGCTATCATGCCTCTAAAAGGTGTTCTGTTCTCTGCTGTGGATGCCAGAGGCCCAGGAAGTGAAGCGTTTATCCCAGATGTGGAAGGAAATGGAGCACAGCCATCAGAAAGCTTGTCTTGAAGCACCGGGGTAATTCAAAAGTGATCTCATCTGATGCTGAGGAATTTAGAGCCATTCTGACATTTTCTCCCTCGTTCTTTATCTGTTTTTTAATCTCCTTTTTTTTCTCCTTACATTTGACTAGAGGCCAGAAGGGAGAAGTGGGAAGATTTAGCTCTTTGATCCAGGGCATGGTGACGGAGCTGGACAGACAACATGGCTGTATTTGGACGTCTGAAGACGGCTCGGATCAGTGCTACCCTCCCCCTAATCTGCAGGCCCTGCTGAAGCTGGTGCTGGTGCCTCGTATTGACAACATGTCAGTCCAGGCCGTCGTATCCATGCAAGCAGAGCATCAACAAAGCTCTCTGAAGATCACTCCTTGGTTCTATATATGCATTCAGTTCAGGTTGTGTTTCTTAACAGTCGTGTCTCAGCTCATGTACTTTATCCTGGACGTTGCAAATTTCCTGCAGTGCAAAGATGACCTCCTCCGGTCCTTCTGCCATGCCTTCACAATCCCTACAAGCTTTTCCCAACAAATCCGAGCCTTCTGGATGTTTGATCACGGACACGTCAAGGTATGTAACAGAGAAAAAAAGGATTCTGATTAAAATGCTGACTGTGGTAGTGAGCTGCGACGGCCACTTAACCATCCTATTGATTCCTTTAGTGTCCTTGCTCCAGAAGACCATAATGGTCTGCAGGTGACACTAACGGGACACTTGAGTAGTGCACGTGATTAATGTTGACCACTGCACTGTGCCGCTCATTAGTGATGGAAGGAACTGCAATATATTCCGCTCTTCGTCTTATCTTTCCATAGAACATAATCAGTTTACCATTTACTTACCAGAGTACTGTCTGCCCTGCTGCACCCAGGCCTCCATGGAGCTGCTGCTGAGCCCCAGGGCTGCCGTCCCCTGGCTCTCCTGGCAGCACCGTTGCATCATCCGTTGTCTCCTGACAAGGAAGCAGCCTGAGGTGGCGTTACAGTACCTCCAGTGGACCAGACCTGCTATAGAGACAGTGGAGGATGCGAAGCTCTGTGCAGACATTTTCCTTCAAAGCAGGTACATCCTGGTATACCATGTTTTATATACGTATATACACCGTCGCCCATAAACTTGGAGTCATTTTTGTTATCAGACCTCTTTTTATTTCTGTTTATACACATCAGTAATCACTTTGATCAGATGCAATGATTACACACTGAGTCCCAGTTCCCAGGTGAAACAAATTCTGACTTCAGGCTCTGACTGAAGAGTGAGACGTCCTGCCCACTGACACCATCAGCAAGCTGGTGGACAGGATGCCACCATGTCTTAATGCATTGATCAGGGGTGGCTGGACTCAAGATTAGTGACTGAGGGACATTTAAAGAGTGATATTGGACATTCGAATGCATGGAAAGAGTTCATTTGCAAAAAACCGATAACTCCATTTTTGTAGATTTTCAGAAAACTTATATTTTCTTTTGTTTACTTGAGATAATATCAAACTGAAGCTGAGTGGATTTGACTCTGTAGAAATGACAACAATAGAGATAACTTTAGTTTGATTGCTATTGTCTCAGGTAGACGATGGAGAAGTGGGTTTATGAAGGTTTGTGAAGATGGAGTTATCTGTTTTTGCAAATGAACTCTTCATGTGTTTCCTGTTATATGACCAAGGTTAAAAAATTGAAACAAAACGCTAAATCTATTTGTTTAATGCCCCTAATTTAGTTTAAGCCTGAATGCACAGTTTGCAAAAGTTAATTGTGGTTAAATTTTTACTGTGACATGTTTTGTTTGAAAATTGTGATATCAATAAAGTTTTGAGAAGATATAAACTTTGTCTATTGAGAATAAATCGCACAATCATCTCATGATAAAAGGTAAAAAAATAAAATAAAATCCAACTTT